CGCACTAGCCCGCAATTCACACGGGCCAGCAAATGTCTAGCCCTGGGCGACTAAATGCTATCAGGGTACCCTGAGGTATTGTAGTTCGGCAATTTTGTCTTCCGGCTCACTGCAGTGCCTTTCGACACGCCGATAGAGCGTCCTTCAAAGCCAATGGCTACCCGCGCAACTTTGTCGACCGGTGCATACGTAAAGGGACGAAAGGCCTAACCGCACGGACACCAAATCTTGGCGGACACTTCCGTATATCAAGAACGTTTCGGAAGCTGTCGGCCGCCTTCTCGCACCACTTGGGGTTGGAGTGGCACACAGACCGGAGGCAACCATCAGAAGTCTGTTAATGAAACCAAAAAGACACACTGCCACGGCTAGAAACGTCTGGAGTCGTTTATCGGATCTGGTGCAGTTGCGGACAAAGCTCCGGAAGACAGCTCCGAACGAGAATGGCCGAACACGCGGCAGCGGTGCGCAGAAATGACGCCAGCTCTTAAGTTGCGGCTCATTCGACGAGATCCGGCCACACATTCAAATTCGATGAGGCCGAAATTCTCGCAAGAGGTGACAACCGCGTGAGCCGGGAGCTACTGGAATCATGGTTTACTGGCCCCCAGTCCATCAACAATTGCAACGATCTTCCGACTCCATACTCAGTGCTAAAACTTCGCCTAGGCGGGGTAACAAGCCATGCGGGAAGCGCAGAGGTGAACACTTTTCCCAACACTGGGGTCGGTGCGTCATATGGTCGAGCAATCATCACGCCAGCATCCAACGCACATGATGAAGTTGCAGCAATTATCGACTCGAATGTCGGCCATCAAGCAATGATCACACCAAGTGCGACGATCCCGGATGAAGGGGGGATCCGTGAATTTTCATAGGTATGCGGTAGCATGGCTAATGCATACTATAATTACCGCAGCCCCTTGTGCAGCAACCACCCTTTTCTGATTTTTTTGTCTCGGATAATGGATTCGAGTAGGAATCCGAAACGTCAGGCTAATAAATCTCTTGTCCCGGCGATCGTGTCTCCTTCTTCAAGACTACTTCCTGGGACTCGTGTCTTCGCTTCTATTGATCGCAACTTCCCCTGCCTTCAATATCGACGGCTGGCCACGACTACTGGCTTTTGAAAGATGACTCCTTACCGACAAACTAAGCAGCTTTCTCACTACACCCAAAGGATCCCTTACATCGGTCTTCCCTTCTTTGTTAGTTTGTCCAGAATAACTCGTTACAATTTCCCCTATCTTTCATATACGTTGCACATGTTGTTGTAGCAAGTCTTCGTGGCACTATATTACTATATCACCACTGAGTCCACAATCGGTTTTGTGAGACTGCGTGTCGAACGATGAATACGTTAGATTCGGGATCTCAAAGTAACTCTCAGGTCGTCAACTCCACTCAAGCCTCTAACTTTGGCTTTTTCAGTTTTCCGTAGCGTTTGTGGACTATCGAGGCCGGAGTTGCTGGTCCTTGACCTCTTCTATCTGATTTTATTGTGCTCTTAACTTCGTTGCCTATTATAACAGGCTATGCGCGATCGTATCAGTCGCCGCGGTGCGTCTTCTGCGATTTTTGATATATGACAAAAAGCAGCGAATGTGACGAACCATTGAAGCAGTATCTATGACGATTAAGCAGATATCGTCTCCGCAATCACCCTCATTTTAATTTTTACCCAAACTATCGATATCCCAGAGGCGCCATTGTCCAGCAATGAATATATTTCTGTTTACCATTGGCAGGCTTGAGACACGCGCAGCCGACCCAGACAATGTGAATTAATATCCCTAACGGACACTACGGTGTTTGCTGGAGAGTAGGACTGGTACAAGTTTGAATAGTTGGTGGTCCAACTTGATCGCGCAGAATGCGTTTGCAAACTCTCTGACCACCATTTCCTAGACTACCCGAACAAATTGCCCAGATAACATTACAGGCAGACTCTTGTCAGTAGTCCCTGCAGGCGCAATACGCCCGGCAGTCCCTTCCCGTTATTGGCGTCTGTGGCCATCAAGATCACTAGTTGCACAAGCCTGCGAATCTGAGGTGTTAATACAGGGCTAGGCAGAGGTCAGTACAGTGTTATCAGGACATTCAGGTGTTTCAAGCCGAGGTTTTACTGCCTGGTTAAGAACACTAGTAAAGTTTATTGATCAGGTCGTTATTTGATCGCTCAAATGCAATCCTTAAGCAGTACTAGAGGTTGCGCCTCTGACCTCAGAACCGTGTTATGGCTGAGTACTTAGAATACTTAAATGACCTCTTTTGATTACACATCATGCAGGCTGCGCAACTCATTGTGTTTGACTTTGTTATTTGGAGATGTTGGCAGACTATTATCACCGGATTATTCTTCGCTGTCAAGTCCAGTTTGGGGAAATTTAGCCGCGTTTGAGACAGTCGCTCCACCATTATCATTGGACGCCGCTTAGGCTGTGCTTTTTCATCATTCTGGTCTCCCTGTTGACCATTGTTTCTGAATATGTTTCAGTCTGCAGCACTTCGTACAGCTGTGATAATGTCTGGTCCAGTTGGCCTCGGCAATGTCACGAATTGTACCCCTTTGCACCTGACGATCTGCGGCAGTGGATCTTAAAAGCTTGTGTCATTCTCTCCACCACCGAAAAGTCGAAAAGCCACTTTCTTTGTTGAGCCAAGTCTTGAGTTGGCCTCCGCTTCAACGCCTTCAGGTGGGTAACGGCGCCGGATCATGGGCTACAGCATTGAGCTTATGGGGCGGACAATAAAAAGAACGTGCCCAAAACATCTCAGTCGTCCTTCTTGGACGACCTGAGATATCGCAATTTTTTGCAGTGAGCGCGGACTGCCGCATCTGAGACGAAGTCGGTGTACACTACACTCGAAGGATAGTCTTCAAGCAGCCGTAACCGAATACCTGCAGTTTTCGCCCATCCAAGTGCATAGCCCAACAGTCACAACTGTGGAAGAGGAATGACCGGACTGATGCCGTGTACACGTGGATCGTTGTGGCGATGGGTATATCACATCGGGTCCATGGATATTTTCTATGGATTGCAGAAATCCTGCAAGCAGCACTGATTCAAGAGACGGTGTTGTCCGTACTATATGCATTCGGCATCTGCCACTTCCAAGGTGGCAGCTATCTATCCAGAGGGGTGCCTTCCGGTCAAGCATACAGCTAAAAGACATCTTGGTCTTCCCAGTCTTTGCGGATAAGTCGATCAATCTACCAACTCTATTCAGTTGTGACACCACAGTCTGTAGGTCACCGAAACTTGCAGTTAACAGGGCTATATCGTCAACATAGTTGAGATCCAGTCAGTCGGTATCCGAGTACAAATTAAACACCGTCGAAACCGTGTAAAGTCTTTCCCAGAATCTAGTCAATGACGTAATTTGCCAGTATGGGCTACAGAATGACAGTTTGACTGTTGTGATCGGTGATGTCTCACGGAGTTTGCGCAGTTCCAGCGGCATGCGCATGCATTCGTTTATAGTGAGGTGGATTTGCGAAACATCTACCAAACTCTCTCACCTCGCTCATTTTGCTCACATGCACGACCGGAGGTGGGCTCGGGCGCAGTGGTTGACAAAGCTAAGCAGCCATTTTACGTATGCCGCACACGATGCGACCTCCGCAGCATGTGCCAGGCCCCTACAGAGGCGGAAGGCGACGGCTTGGACTTCACATTAGTGAGAGTGCCATTAGGACCACATTAAGAAGCCGTTGAGCCCGCCTCTCAGTTTTCAAGTTTGTCACTGGCCACGAGGGCTTAATTACCTCGTCAGTTGACAATCTTCTAAACCACAAGTTTTTGCGTGCAGAGGTAGATTCAAGCCTGTCAGATTTCGTATAGTGAGGAATGCACTGAAGTGTCGCGGAGATGGAGTCCCCTGTCTCGGCCTCACCCTCTCTTCCCTCTCCTAGACATCATTTGGTTGTCTGTGCCTGTCAGCCGGCTGATGATGCAATTGAGCCCGTCTACATTTGCCATACACAACCTGACCACCCAATCACCCAGGATACATCCAAGGCCATGCCTCCAACTTACATTAGATGTGCGTGTTCTAACATGTGAAGTTGTTTCGGCCATACCGGCGCCAACAAAGCGGATTATATTCTTGCTACCAGAACTGGCTATTATTGTTGTAGGATGTGGCACGTGGTGTGGAAAGGTTCATATGTGATCTAGGGATGCTTATGGGTAAGCAGGGTGAGGTGTGATGATGAGGTCTGGAGTGTGGTGTTTTATCAAAGATTTACAAGGCGCATGTAACCGAATGGTCCCAATGCGATGACCGGACAGGTTAGACGGGCACGGCGGACCACTATTGGCGTCGGCACGTCAATTTCAGTGCAATGGACCCTCAAGTGTCTGGCGAGACCGATGCGTGATGCCAATGTGCGGGGGCATTAAGAAAAGGGTGGTGCTGTGGCCTCTGAGCTGATGATGACGATGCTACGAGAATAAAACCATACCAAACACCTCGCGAAATGTCCAACGACTCGGGGAGATGGTTGTGGATTTGAACTCGCGCAGTGGTGAAGCAATAGCAGGCCTTAATTATAACGATGATTCTTGCCGGCATGCCCTTACAGAGGCTCACAATGGACAGAAGCGAATTCTGCTGTTAGCTCAGTTTTGTCGATTTAGGCTCAACGCCGCTGACCCAATCCAAGGGCGGTAAGAGAGGTCACCTTGAAAGCCCGTATTGCACTGTCTTCCAATCTGGACTTTTATAGCTGGAGGAAGATCGGGTCAAGCCCTCCAGGCTCGCTGCCGCAATTCGCCACGCATGGATGGGTACAATGCTGGACATCACAAAGTTTAGATCAGTTGTCAAAAAGTGCCGTCGGCACCATTTGCCAAACAACTGCATGAGTGAAGTGTTCTTTTACTGACTAAAGCGTTTTGCTCTTATCCTCTTCCTCAACACGCCAATAACTACCAAAGTTTATTATTCTTTTGTCCTAGTCTGCGCTCTCCTAACGCGGAAATATGGCGAATAAAATGCTATTTGGAAAGTCTCTGGCCGAGTACGAAGATAATCTGGACAACCTCGACGAACTGTTGTCCAAGTTGACAGATGAGGAGATCAAAGAACTTAATAATGACATAGATCCAGATAACTCTCTGCTTCCACCCTCACAACGTTGTCGAGATCAGACGACAAAGGAACCCACAGGCCCTTTTAACCGGGAGAAGCTTATCCAGTGAGTCCTGTGCGCACTTCTCATCTTTGAGCCTCGATCTTAACTGCTGTTTGGGTGTCGGTTTAGCCCCGCCCTACTAGTAATGAAGCAAGATAACTGCCCGATTGAGACTGTGTGCGCGAAATCGCACAACTTCAGATGTAAAGTACGGCACCAGATAGGATGGGCCGCAGGGGTTTCAAACCAAGATATCACTACTAGTTTTATTCGCGCTTACTTTCATTATTCAAAAAAAAACATTTCGTGGGCATTATGACCTTTTGTTCTTTTCTCTCCTACTGACCTGTCCCGAATTCTCCTTTTCTCAACACCTGTGTATTTGATGTTACATGATTGCTTTTTGACGAGCGTCAAACGACGTCCGCTTTCCGAAGGCGGAAATTATATTTCACGGCCCAACCTTCGCGGCCAAGCCTTCTTAACCCAGATTGCTTTACCCCGCGGGTCCATCAATCAGCGAAGTGGATCGAGCAGGCCTGTGCTGACGTGTTTACCTGTCTGCAGTAGAGAGCCCGCGATCTTGTGTCGGTAGCTTTGAAGTGACTCGACGCGAAATGCCCTATTCCGGAAGTGTACCCTAAAATGCGTTTCTGGCCGGCCTGCCATCGTCAGCCTGCCAAACCCACAATCACGGGCCTTTCTGCCATCACCAAGCGCCCAGCACACAGCGTGTAGGCGCGTTGCTTAACCGGTAGAGTACTGTGCCTAACTACCAACTAGAGACCCCTGTTAAAACCCTAAGTCAGTCCTTCAAATCTGGGGTTAAACTAAGACTGGTTGAGGATGTCGGATGGGTCAAAAACGCACATCTCAGTCCCCCTTGCCTCAGTCGGTACTGCTCGATCCTGATCGCCTTTCTTCATGTGGCCATCCAGCAAAGGGCTCGGAACTGCGAACCAAGACGAAACGCCCATAGATCCTGTTTCACGATTCGACCAGGACAATGAACATCGCTGTCACCTGACTTGCAGGTTTCCTGCGCTTGAGTCTTAAGGCCAGGCTGTGTCGGCTATCACTGCACGTACGTCCCTTCCTCCTCGGTGTTTGTCACTCCCCTTTTGTAAACGCTGTCTACTAGATCTAGTCGCGCCAGTGACCTAAAACCAACCTCTGGAGACGGCCCTCACGGATAAGCAGGGTTTCTCCATTTATTAATACGGTAGCTTGTTTGCAGCACGGTAGTTGCCTCTGGCAGTCGTAGGCTGCAAGAAAGTAGATTTCTTTCGCGTCAGTGTCATTTGCGTCAAGGCTGCGTCTACTGGTTTGAATTCATGAGAGCTCTGACGTCAGATCATTAGCGGATCAGGCAGTTGGCGATTCGGTGTAGACGCGCATAAATTAGCCTGTAGTCGAACTGTCGGTAAAAACTACCGCACACTTTACCTGACGCAAGTGGCAGGCCAGTTTATTCACGCCTGTCCTCATTTTCCCCACGAGCCTACCTGCCGACTGACTTTTCTTCCCAACACACGCCGCCCGGCGCATCACCTTCTTCCCTTGCGATTGCAAATTTCCTCGCGCAAAAGTCGAACGTGGTTATACTGCCTCGTTTTAGAGTCTCACTTCGGTGGAAAACCGCACACACACACGCCTTCCAGTCCAGCAGTAGTACACACGATTCACACATATACCTACTTTATCCTACTCACAAAACAGGCACTAACGCGCGCAGAAATTGCGTATTTGGAGCGAGGTGCCGTATGAAATGGCCACTGAGCTCCATGTGAGAAAGCCGCGTCAACCCGAGTTACTCAGCTCCGTGCTTCGTCAGTTTGAAACTTCTCGCCTTTTTTTTTATCGACGCAGTCACCTACCTACCTACCTGGCCATTTCTTCCAAATTTGGGTTACTTTCAGGCGAGCAGAAGACTGGACGTGGGAGATATATCTCCGTCTCACTTAAGCCGTAGTTAATACAGGCCAGTCAGCCAGTTGTCATATTACACATGTGACCGTTTCCTACATGTACAGCTTCCGTATCAGTGGCTTAACCATGACAGTCTATCTGTGAAAGACTTTGCAGACGCCTGTGATCGGCAACATTTACATGCAGACTGACCGCGGGGGCAATAAACTGGTCACCTGGAACTGCTGTTCGCCGATCTCCACCGATTGCATGGGGAAAAGGAGAACTTTGCACTGGAGCTGCGCTCTACAGTTAATACAGGGGATCGAACAGTAGGCGGCAGTCAGTGCTCGAAATGAAATGGTAGCAAAGACAAGGGGAGACCGGGGGGGGGTGGCTATTTTTGGCATTGCCGATAGAAGCGAACAGGCGAGTTCCAGGAAAAAGGTGCGATCACTAGAACAGGAAGTTTATCGGCCTGACGTTTCGGATTCTCGCTAGAACCCATCATCAGAGACTGTGGAGGCACAAAGACTGCAGTACTTATAGTAGGTAGCTGCCGTGGGGCCACATGCGTGCTATAATTAACAACTCCCGTGATTACTACTGGGGTCGTAGTTATGGTGATGGTGGCTCGTCATCCCGCGTACGAGTCGTTAATTGCCGCAATTCACGTAGATGGTTGGTCATTTCAAAAGGAACATGTTTTGGCGTTTCAAGGAACCACCAGAACAATCTACGATACTCATTTCGACCCAACTTTGAAAACCTTGGCGACCTTGGTGGGATTCTGAACCATGACAGCAACGGGAAGGCTTTAGTACAGCCAACGCTCTAGCCACCTGAGTCACAAGGCCCCACTAGGAGACGGGGGTTTAATCACACCCGCCCAGCCTACTGCAACGTCCGGAATCCACATAATTAATCTGAAATATGTTTTCTTCGCAAAGTTCGTCAAAGTGTGCTGTTTTTCTCCTTTTTTTGCGAAGACCAAATTTAGTTCTTTTTTTTCGCCCCTTGTGTGTCATCAGATTCCTCGTTGAGAAGGCCAAGGCCGATCCTGACTGGGATGAGGCAGTACCCTTTGAGAAGAAGATTCGTGGGAAGGTATTCGAAAAGAAAACCGCTGAACAGATGTCCAAAAACGAACTGAGCGACCTTGGCTTTGACGTGGAACTAGACGAAGATATAAATGAGGTCAGTGTCTTTCGGCCCTAGAATACTGTTGCTTCATTTTCGTCTTCTGCGCATGAAGTCGTTTTTCTTAGTTCGAGCTCTCATCCAATTTAAATGAACCACTTCGTGGGAAGTAACGCACCGGCCAAGTGTTACGGACGATGTGATGTGTGGTTGCAGTTGTTTGCACCTCATCCGTATAAGTTCCCAGCCATCCTTACTACAGCCAAGCACATGTAGTAGGGGCGAGGTCTTATCTGGCACGCGTAGTTGGGTTGTCTAGTTTTGTCGCAACTTACCTCGAAGTCGTTTGTTGATAGAAGCGAACAGGCGAGTTCGAGGTTGCAGTTCAGAAGACGAAGATGCGATCACTGAAACAGTGATCGCATCTTCGTCTTCTGAGGTCGTTTGTCTCAATTCGAGCTCTCATCCAATTAAAATGAACTACTTCGTGTTACGGGCGATGTGACACACTTTGACACGTTGCTTTAGAAGGGTACGATTTAGCCTGCTAATGTGGGCCGTGCGAGAAAGCTTTAGGCAGGAGGACAGTGCTATCACCAACGCTCAGCACAAAACCGGACGGTTTTACTAGTAGTTAATGTGTGTTTGCAGTTGTTTGCACCTCACCCGTATGAGTTCCCAAAAGTCCAATTATACTTCATGGAAAACATGCATAAAAATATTCATTCTTTTGCTCATTCCGTAGAAAATTACGTCTTCTTTCAATTTTACACTCGAAGGAAGGGTATGATTCGGTTTTAAAAAAGTTTCTTATTGTGGGATTTTTTAATACCCTGAAATGGCGTTTCGTAAAACGTCATACCTCTGCATTTACCAATGTAGTTTGTAAATTTAACAATGTGGCTCAAATCCACTGCTTAATTTTATAAACCCCACATAATCTCCTCATAATACCGTAGAGAAATGTATGCTTTTCCGTACGCGGAAATTATACGGCTTGTAGTTTGGGAACCCTGAATGCAAGTTTAACGGCAGGTCGAGTTCAAAATTATTCGGGATTTGGAAAAGTTGTATAAAACCAAATTATATCTTTCCCTCCAGTGTAAAATTGAAAGGAGATGTAATTTTCTTCCAGATGAGTAAAAGGACTATTATTTTTGTGCATGTTTTTTTTTAATGAAATATATTTGAGTTTATAGGGACATCGAAAATCAATGAAAAAAATGCATGCTACGTAAGTAGTCATTTTTACGGAGCATGGTTTTTAGAAAGAAGTTTGTTCGAAAACCGGCGTCCTGGGATAACTAAATTATTATAGTTAGACATCGACATCCATAGACTGCCAGATGGACCTGACCACTGTAGCTCGGCATTCAGGTTGGGCAGTAAGCTTCCGTTAGTCAGGCAGACTTTACTTACTTTTTTGTCTTTCCCTTAGCCCTCGGGGGCCCGGAGTGCTGTATTGTGCACTTATACGAACTACTATTTCCCAGTGTAATGTCGTTGTGACCTTGTTTTTTACCAGGCCCTGGCCAAAGCCACTGACGATGAGCTCATCGACTTGGCCGCCATTCTCGGTTTCACGGGCATGATGAATCAAGTGCAGTTCCACGCCAGTATCGAGAATCGTTCTCAGGAGGGTGGCGGCTTCTCGGGTGTGGCCAAGGCGGAGAAGTTCAAGCTCATTCCCGATGAACCACCCAACATGACAGACATTGAGGTGAGAACTTCCGCGTTACCGCGTCTGTTTCTTTTGGCTCCCTATGCACGCACCGCTTCTGCAGGTGACTTGCGCAGAATTTTCCTCGCCACACCCTTTCACACGCGTCGTGTTCACTGTTAACGATAGGTCAAGATCACCGGCCACTGAACTTGCATAAACCACACATACCGGCCTGTCAACCCATTCGAGGCAGTTATCATCGCTCAGAGAGTTTTTATAAGGTCGCACTGAGAGGAAGTTATTACAACCAGGCGCGCTGTCCTGAAAACCGGTAGTGATAATGGAAGCTGACAGTAATTTTAGGTCCATTTATCGCCACCAGACAGCCATAACTCAATCCTAGCCGCCCATTTAACCGACTGCTCTGGTAGTTCGACCGTCTTACCCGACGATGGCCACCATGTGCTCCACAGCAAGGTGAAGCGGGCACAGTGGCTTGCGTGTGAATTATAGTGAGGGTAGACTTGCGCAGCATCTACCGCACTCTCTCCTCCCCACCTGGGCTCGGTGTTAAGACATAGTCAAGAAGACCAGAGATGAGGGAGGACACAGGTGGCTGGCACGACCGGACCCGCACCTAGGCATAGCATCACACCCCCCCCCCCGGGTTCACAACCAGCACTTGACCAGGACTGCTCTACCAACTGCTTCACAGACACGCACTCTGTCGGTTGCGGTTGGTAACATTCTAAATCAGGACCCCTAGCCTGATTGCCAGAACGGAATCTGGACGTTTTTCTAGTCAGTGTGTAAGCCTCATGACCGCCACAATCGACTGCGATGCAGATGTGCTAAACCAAAAGATAGGTCAGACTGACTCATGTTACGCGTCTGTGGGGCTGCGTTGAGACGTTTTGTCTCAAACCGCACCAACCATCGCGGTTGGTCGACAGGCCCACAGATGCGAGCCGCCCTCACAGAATCCTCGCACATGTAGCGCAAATTAGGCCACGGCTGTGCCACGCGCAAACAGGCTGTCTGGCCGTGTCGGCTACCGCACCTGACTCCACTATCCGGTCGTTTCGACATTTTCATCGGACCTAGGTGGTTGAGGGAGGAGAGGGTGCGGTAGTTGCTGCGCAAGTCGACTCTGTATAGACTAATTCAAACTCAAGTCCCCGGTGTTGCGCTCGTTCCGCCCCGAAAATCCATTCCGGAAACGAAAATTGCGAGTTTGAGTTCGTAAAATTCAAGTCAAAGCAGATAGGTAAAACGGTATTCCTTTCTTGGAGCAGAAAGCAATTTATTCCTTACCAATTCCATTTGGCAAACTTACAACGCTTTATGCCGTTAAGCGCAATAATAAGCTTATTCGACAGTATTTGTTTTACCACAGCAGGAACTAGTAGGCGTCAGTCAGTTTCAGTCAGTTTATTAAGGGAATGAGGCTTTCGCCCTTGAGCTCCCTATTCATATCGATAAACAGAAATAAAGTCATCAATTACATCAGCAAATGCGAAAAGTTAAGAAGTTAGCGGTAAGTGTGAGCTAGGCGCAAACTGCCGCCGCTAAAACAATCATTATTGTATGTACAGTAGGTTCTCAACAAGTGAGCGTCTAGTCTGCACTTAAAGGATTTGACACTTTCGGAAAGAACGACGGCGTCAGGGAGTCCATTCCATGCCCCGATGACCCTGTGAGAGAAGGCGTTCCGTCGGACGTCCGAATGAGCCCGCTTCCTTTGCAGTTTGAACGGATGACCACGCAGACGGTCAGTCCGGGCCAATTCAGAGAATTCATCAAAATCTAGGGCACACTCACGGCTTCTGACAATCCTGTAGGTTTGAATGAGATCGCCGCGCAGTTGCCTGTAATTTCGAGGAAACAGATTTAATTCAGTCAGCCTGGTTTCGTAAGGCAAATGATGAAGATTCTTGACCATCTTCGTAGCCATCGCCTGTACTCTTTCCAGTCGTTGATAATCTTTCTTCAACCACGGTCGCCAGGCCTGGACTGCATACTCTAAGTGAGACCGGACGAATGCCCCATAGGTTTTTCCGAACAGCTCCTTGTCGATCTGCACAAATCCTCGCCTCAGCGCAAATAACACCCTTATCGCACTTTTGGCTGCCCTTTGACACTGTAAAGATGGTTTCAGCGAGGTCATTAGGACGCCCAGGTCTTTCTGTTCCACGACATTTGAAAGGGGCTGACCATCAAGGACGTATTGAAAGGAATCGTCCTCCTTACTGGTCCGTCTGGTGCGGAGTCTCAGGACCACACATTTGTCCACATTAAAATTGAGGAGCCAGCGAGCTGACCAACTGTTCAGGCGGTTGAGACGGTCTTGAAGCGCGTACCTGTCTGCATCAGATCTGATGGGTCTCCACAGCTTAACATGGTCAGCAAACATGATGGCGCTGCATCCCAGGTCATCGACGCAGTCGTTAATGTAAACCAGGAATAGCAACGGCCCTAAGACGGAGCCCTGGGGTACACCACTTAGAACGGGAGTAGGAGTTGACCTCGAGGCCTCAATGCACACGGTTTGCTATCTCCCGGTAAGAAAATCTGTTATCCATGTCAGCAGCGTTCCTCTTATCCCAATTTCAGAAAGTTTGTAGATTAGGCGTTTGTGTGGGACGCTGTCGAACGCCTTCTTAAAGTCTGTGTATATGACATCAACCCTCCCATCCTCGTCCAGTGCGCGAGTCCACTGCTCCGTCGAGAGCAATAAACGGGAAAGACACGAGCGGTTCTGTCTAAAGCCGTGTTGCAGGTCTGAGATTAAATGGCCCTGCTCCAGGAACTCCATAGTTGCTTTCTTAACTATGGCCTCCATTATTTTACAGCAGATACAGGTTAGACTAACAGGCCGGTAATTGTTAGCATTAGTGCGAGCCCCGCCCTTGTATATCGGAAAGATATTTGCTGTCTTCCATTCCGATGGCAACCTCCCTAATTCGAATGACGAGCGGAAGATGTGCGCCAGTGGTTTGGAAAGTTCATTCGCCAGTTCCTTCAAGAATTTGGCCGGTATATTGTCCGGACCTGAGGACTTTGCTTCCTTGAGATTTTTCAGCTCCCTTTCCACGACAGCTGTCGGGAACAGTATGGAGTCAAGCACGCGATCAGCAGTCTCAACAGCATTGCTAGCACTGCGACTGCGAAACTCTGTTTCTCTAGTAAAAACCGAGGCAAAATACTGTCCTAAGTGTTCGGCTTTCTCGCTGTTCTCAGTGATCTCTACACCATTACCATACTTCAGCACCGCGACCGGGTCCTTATTTTTCAGTCTACTGTTTAGATAGTGAAATAAAATCTTAGGCTTCTGTTCAGCCTGTCGTGTAATTTTGGATTCATACTCCTTCCGTGCCTGACGGATACATTTTTTGACGGCATTTCGTTGACGACGAAATTCTTCGAAATGCGCTGGTGACGCAGTTTCCCTGAATATTTTCCATCTTTTGCCTTTCTTCCGTAGCTGCCTATTTAGGTCCCTAGTTAACCAAGCAGGTCGACTAGTTGCTTTTTGTACTTTAGGTGGACTACAGCGCCTAATCAGATCAAGTGAAATCGTTTTAAAAGATCTCCAGTCGTCCTCCGGATCTCCCCTGAGTATTTGGTCCCAATTCACGGACAGCAATTCGTTCTTCATCATATTAAAATCTGCCTTCCATATATTAGGTTGACCCTCTGTTCTCTTCTGGCGTTTAGAGAAGAGCGAGTAATCCCATAGTAGCGTAGTATGGTCACTTTTCCCGAGAGGTGCATTGGAATACACATCGTCGATATTAGAGAAGTCTTTAGTGAAAACTAGGTCTAGACAATTTGCTCTCTGGTTCTCTCGAAATCTTGTTGGTACCTTCACATGTTGCGCCAGAGGGAGATCGAGTGTGAGGTCCAGTAGCTTATGGCTGAAAGAGGCTGGTCCACCGTTAACTGCCATAGTTTCCCACTCTATTGCAGGTGCGTTGAAATCCCCAGCAATAAGTACCTCTTGGTGGCTAGCTACGTCTTTGACTAAACCAAGGAGCGACTCATCAGCTGCACTCAGAAGGTTTGGTGGTCTGTAAATCGCCAGAAATTCTAGATTTTGTGCATTGCTCTTCTTTATCTTTATCCAGACGGATTCATATTCAAGGGAGAGGGTGTGGGCTCTTTCAACTGCTGAAATTCCTTCCCTTACATATACGACTACCCCTCCGCCCTGCCTATTTTGACGGTCTCTACGACCCAGCTGGTAACCCGGTATCGAAATCTCAGCATCCAAGTTTTCGGCATTAAGCCAAGTTTCCGTTATGGTGATGACGTCGGGGATTCGTTCCGGTACTATCGCTTTGAGTTCGTCGATTTTCGAAACGAGACTTTGAGCATTGGTATACAAAAATCTCAATTTGGCACGAGCAACTCCGCCATACTGGCGTTTATCAATTTCTTGGGATTGAATGCAAAAGCCGGTCGGAGCTGATCGGGATGAACTGCTTTCCATCATTCCTAAGCGTAAACATGTACAGTGAGTGACTGGTCTCATGAACTGTTGACCGAAATTCTGAAATGCGTTTTCGGTTAGGAGGGATTACCGAGGTGGGGTGTCGTAATATTGACTATCCTGCGGCATAATCCTGTAATATTTCGGACTCGCCAAGATGTCGGCTTCTGAATGCACTTCCTTTCGACCTCCCGCAGAAACCACCGATGGGTGATACATCAATACGATGGTCGAACATGCCGCTTGTGTTTAGAAATGTTCACGTACAGTGAGTGACCGATCTCATGAAATGTTGACCAGAAGTCTGAAATGCCTTTTCAACCTCCTGCAGAAACCACACTCAGTAAAAAATGAGTACTTAAGTGGCATGCATTTTTATATTGATTTTCGATAGTCTTATAAATTCAAATATATCTTATGGAAAACATACGCAAAAACTATGCTTCCTTTTACTCGTTTGGTAGTAGACCACATTTTAAACCGTTGAAAAGGTTGTCTTTCATCACACATGTCCGTTTAACAGTGCTCCTCATTAAATGTACAACGTAGTCTGCATCAATTGCAAAGGTTCTTTAAATCTATATAGTATCTCCTTAAAGACGTAGAGAAATATATGATCTTCCTTACCCAGAAAGCATACACCTTGTAGACTGAAATAGCTACACGCTAGTGCAATGGCTAATCAGTCTCGAAATCACTCGGGAATGGGGAAATTTTTTAAAACCTAAATATACACGTTCTGCAGGTATAAACTATGAAGAAAATGTGATTTTCTACCAAATGAGTGAAAGAAGGCATATTTTTGTGCATGTTTTCTGCAAAATATATTTAAACTTTTAATATCATCGGAAACGAACGTGAAAAATGCATGCTACTTAAGTAGGCATTTTTGCCGGGTGTGGTTTCTGTAGGAGGTCGAAAAGAAGTATATTAAAAAGCAGACATCCTGGAAAAGCCGAAATACTACAGGGTTATGCCGCATGCTGATCAATATTACGACACTGTGTCGGTGGCTACGGTTGCTACTGTTTCGAGTTTGTTCAACCCTGAACAACCAATCGGGAGGAAGAGCTCATAGTTACCCTAAACGATGCGTCGTTACCAGAAGCGTGTCTCTGTGGGCACGCATCCCACTGAAGTCGGCCATCACATTTGACAGTTTGAGAATGAAAAACGACCGCACCCACCCCCCCCCCGCCTTTCTGCACATCCACTGTAAGCTAAAGGTAAAAGGACTTACGCCGTGCGTGCGCCTCATCCTTCGTCCTGCCACCGCCCTAAAGTATGCCTTGATAGCTGGAGTAATTTACCGGGTCTCATTTCTGAGGCAAAGGCGCGGTGTCCTGAAAGTAACTCGTTTATTCATGTCGCCCCCCCCCCCGTACACCCATCTCACTTCTCTTTTGCTTCCCTGGGTTCTGCACACAGGAGAGCATCACAAGGCTGACAAACAACGACGAGAATCTGACCGTACTGAACCTGAATAACATCAAGACCATCAGTGCCGAACAGCTCTCCCGTCTCGCCACCGCTCTGGGTGAGAACACAAAGCTCAAGGAATTGCATATGGCTGCAACCAATATCACCTCCGCGATGGTCGAACCCCTCCTGCTTCCCCTCAAGGTCAACCACGACCTTGAGGTTCTCAATCTGGAGTCCAACTTCATCACGGGTGAGTGAGCATTCAGGTGTAGAGCCCCCGCAGTCAGGAAGCGTCTTCACCACTCCCTTAAACGTCCCCAAAATGTTCTAGTTGCCTGGCTCGATCGTGACGACGGTTGAGAGCCTACCCGCGACCGTAGGACATGGGCCGCACTGGCTCGTCATGTCTTCGAATCTGGAGTCGGTGACATCACTTTTGGGGCTAATTTATGAGTGTTCAAGCGTCTTGACTTACTCAGAGTAAGGGTGACAGTCCCCACAACAGTGTTAGGGGGCGCTCACCGATCGTTCATACGGAATTCACTCGTTCCATTGTGGCTTATAGGCTCTCTCTCGAGCCCAACCAGCAGCCGCAGCGGCGCATGACATATAGGCAGAATGATATTACCGACAAAGACAAGGGAGACTGGAATGGCCATTTCTGGCTTATTAGCCGTCGTCAGCCAGCCATACCCAAGCCCGAAGTGTGGAACACCCGAGCCTCGAACTCGCGACCTGTTGGTTTAGAAGTCAACGCCTCTACTCACCGGGCCACGAGCCCGTTGCCTTGTCGGTTTTCGATCGGGAATATACAGTGTTAGGGGGCGCTCACCGATCGTTCATACGGAACTCACTCGTTCCGTTGTGCCTTATGGACTCTGTCTCGAGCCCAACCAGCAGCCGCAGCTGACTACGAACTGATTGCAGTTAATATCAGGCTTCAGTATCCAAAAAGACGTTTAGGAGTCTGGTATTCGCGAAGATTGTCCAACCTCAGAAGCCACTCATGCAAACTCTACGGTCCATCGATTTCGTCAACAGGGCAGCACAAACTGCCTGGGTATGCTAGAAAATTATGACGCTCATCTTGCCACTTGTGTTGGATAATGTTGCATTTTGGGGGATTCGTCTACTGTAGTTTGTCGCAGATAGTGGGACGCTGATCACAGTGTCGAGGGCGCAGTAGAAGATGCTGGGGGGGAGGGTGCTGATATATAGTGAACCTTTCCCGCCAACTGTTTTCCAGCGGTAAAACTGGGTCAAGACCATCTCAGCTGAGCGTGGGCTTCGCCCACTCGATTGCGAAATAGTAGCATCATTTAGTTGGATAATAATGATGATACATGACGCTCCCGAATTCCCCGTGCCAATTTCAGTTAAAAACTGCGGTCGGAAGTAGGGTTTTATAATGCCTGGGCTAGGTATCATTCTAGGATACTTGGCCGAACCCCTACTGTCCCTGTTTTGCTCCCCGTCTTCCTGGTACTGCCCTACAGCAGACTGTAGCATAGTCATTCCTCAGAGACGCCCACTTGAGCATCTGTTCTCTCACCTCCCCCCCCCCCCATAGGTGACATGGTCCTCAAAATTCTCGAGGCCATCTCGGGTAATAAGAGTGCCGTGTGTGACCTTCGCCTAGCCAATCAACGTCAACGTGTCCTCGGCGTCAAGATGGAACAAGAGATCACGAATCTCGTCTTGCAGAACCCGCGTATCATCAACCTCGGCCTGGACTTCGACACCGCTGAGGCCCGGGTGCGAGTGAGAGATCACCTAAAGAACACGATGGACAAGACCAAGCGACAAGCCCGTGTCGGCGCCAAGGCCTAATCATCACCCACCAAGCCTCCCTCCCCCTCTGCCCGCTTTTCCTGCTGCCGCCGCCTCGCATCTGCGGGAGACTGTTTAGCGATTCTGAACCTGCTTCATCCCCGCCCCCCCCCCTCCCTAGGTTCTGTCATTGTCGACCACATTTTATTTTATTTGATTATTTCCTGGGCTTTCAATACCCCGTAAATGAGTGCCACTCATTCGCTTATTACGATGATGCCAGTAGCGTTGTCTCCGTTACTCCCGGCCTTGCTACTCGTCTGCTGCCGCCGCCGCCGCCAACACTGCCAAAAATTTCGTGCCGATGCCTTTGCTGGGGGCTGCTGATGTTGTTTAAGCGGCTGCCAACCCAACTATATCCTCCTCACCGGCCTTTTCTGTATACTCTTAAAGTGCATGTGTAATTGGTTCGTCTCATTGGGTTTTGTGTCGAAGCGGTATCTTCATACTAGCATTTCATCCTCCTTTTGTCTTGCTCGTAAGCTGTTTTGGCAGGGGTTGCTTATATGCCCCTCCTCCCCACCACTCCGGCAGCACATGATTCCAGGGAAATTGGGGTTCTTTCAGTCGGCCAGAAAGGTCGTTCAAAAACTGGTTCTCCCTAAGTAACTGATATATCATAGGATTGTTCTACACTGTAATTATTGTTACATCCCTACCTACGGTAGGTTTGCTAACTCTTGAAATGTTAACCGAAATACTGAAATGCGTTTTCGTTTTGAAAAGGTTACTTAAGTAGGGTTTTGAAAGTAATCATCATGCAGCATAATTCTGTAATCAGATACCTCGGGATGCTGGATTTCCGGTCGCATGTAAAACCACGCTCTTTAGAAAATGACTGCTTAAGTGGCATGGATTTTTCTCATTGATATTCGATGCCCTCAAAAATTCAATTATATTTCGTGAAAACCATGCACAAGAATATTCATTCTCTTACTCATTTGTAGAAAATTACGTCTTCCAATTTTATGCTCATAGAAAGAGCATAATTTGATTTTAACAAACTTTTCCAATTCCCAAATAATTTTGAACCCAACCTGCCGTTAAACTTGCATTCAGGGTTCTCGGACTGCAAGCTGCATATTTTCCGTGAACGTAAAATCATGCATTTCTGCAGGCTATTAAGAGGAGACCATATAGGGTTCATAAAATTTGGCAGTGAATTTGAGCCATATTGTTAGCTTAACAAGCCATATTGGTAAATGCAGAGACATGATGTTTTATGAACCGGCATTTTACGGTATAAAAAATCTCATAATTAGAAACTTTCAAAACCGAATTATACCCTCCTTCGAATATAAAATTAGAAGAAGACGTAATTTTCTACGGAATAGATAGAGGGGTGAATATTTTTATGCGTGTTTCCCATGGAATATAACTGATTTTTAAGGACCTCGAAAATCAATGAGAAGATTGCACGTCACTTAAGCAGTTATTTTTTACGGAGCGTGGTTTTTGCATACCGCGGGAAAGATGTTTGTTCGATATCCGGCATCCCTAGGTATCTGATTACAGAATTATGCCGCATGATGATTACTTTTGAAATCCTACTTAAGCAATCTCGAAACGAAAACGCATTTCAGTATTTCGGTTAAGATTTCATGAGTTAGCACACCTACTGTATGCAATTCCGACTGTTGTTTCTAAAGACAGGATTTGAAAGGGGGGTTGGTGGGCTGGTTTCGTAGCAATCCATCTAATCTCGTTGACTGCGATAACGCGTAGCAGCTTAGCTCATTTTATCGACTCGAAAAACCCTGGCCGGGGTCATAGCACAGTCGCCAGTTGCTCCTGGGGGTACTGTGAGAGCGTTACTCTCGTCCCTGCGGTGTGTCTGCTGAAATTGGCGATAACCACACCCATACCTCCCGGGGGTGGGAGCAATATCAACTTGTACTTCTGTGTTCATCGTGCCTTCGCCGAAGGTAGTAATCAAGCAGAGGGGACCTTGTTTGTAGACGACTGTTCATTGGAGGTGGATGGCTGATGTACATTTGTGAGGTGTAGGCGGGCATTTTGGAGGTTCAGGCGGGGCTAACTAGATGCATTATTGCGACTCAGCAGTTAGAACGTATTCAGGGCGCAACACACCTCAGGCCAAATCCCGAGTTGAAGGGATGAGGAGTTTGCTGCATACAGGAGCCCGAGTTGTCGTTTCAGGCGGCAGTAGCCGCTGGCAAAGCCAGGGTTGATGTTACCGCGTCCAGCCATGCCAGGGAGTTTGTGAGACATTGGTGGTAGCTGCCTTTGGAAGGTTTGTGGGGCAGTCTGAAGCGATGTCCAAATGGCGTGTGTTGCATGTTGTGTATTCCGGTGGTGGTGGTGGTGGTGGTGGTGGTGGTGGTGGTGGTCTATTCAGGCGGCGCATTCAAACAAGCAATCCGGGTAAAGAAAACGCGGCTGAATTGACACAGATAAATTAATGCGGTATCTCACCAGAAGTGGACCCGTGCGCCCGAGTGGAAATCGGTCGAGTGGCTGCAGCGCAGCTCGTCTGCAGCCGATCACTGCAAAGGCAGATGACTTAGCCACAACGGATCACTGAATAAGAACGCCATACATGACTGTGCTGTCTGTTGACAAAATTATCCTCGCCCACTGCGTCGTCTCTGAACTGGAACTCCCGAAATACAAACTGTCCGTGCAATTTTCGCTTGGTCAAGTCTCTGTTTCGCACGGGAGGACTGATCCAGTTTTAACATTAGATGGTGAGGCCCTCTTTTGACCCCAGTTTGAGGCTAGCAAGAAAGCCGTTTGAATGTCGCACCCCTGCGGCTATTACTCTCAACTTTAATTTGAAAGGTGAGGACTGTATTGTCACATCCTGGTCTTACTGTGTTTCTGATGGAGATCCTCCAGCGTAGACGTTACAATCCTAGGGTGGGGATCTGATGGACGGGCTTACTGGATGTGTGACATGTGGTGGCCGTATCTGCGAATATTCTTATCACCGACAGCGAAAGATGTCCTTCAAGACCGGGTATTTTAGAATGATCAGCGACAGTGTTGTTGTCATAATCTTTGGCTATTGAGCTCCTAAGGCCACCAAAAGGAAGATATGGGGGGGGGAGGATGAGGGGTGGCGTGCTGCAGAATTCCAGGTAAGATGTGGTTAAGAAGCCCCACATGATGGACACAATAGTGTTGGGACTAGAGTTAGGGCAACTATTTCTCAACCACTCAAAGTACAACCGCACATCCCCAATAGCTTGCCTTTTCCATACAACTACTTGACCTCATTGCCTGTGCGTTCCCCGACCTCACCTGTAAAACCCCCTACAACCACCGGTCCCGCATTACAGGTGGCTGCGGTTTGTTTATCTCAGGTGCGGCTACATAAACGCATTTAACCGAATGACACTTTTTCACTCATCGTTATGTACAATGATCACATCCATTCGATTAATCCTGGGACCAGATGCACGTTATGAGGACGGGTGGGTTGGAGTGTTGTCACCAATGGTACGTGGGGATCCACGGCCTGGCTGATAGGTTGTTCCCTTGATTGGCTAAATATTCAATTAAGGCGAGAGGCACAAGTTTATGTTAGTTTTCCTGGCACTGGTTAGCAAGTCTGCGCGCGATGAATTCTACCACTACCCACACTTTTCGGACCCCATCATTCTCGTCTAGCCCGTATTTGCCGACAACTCAGGCCTAATCACACAACTGACCATTTCGGTCAAGCCGATCGTCGAAATTGTTTATTAGATTAAATATGAAGAAATTCTGTACAATCACAAGTACTCAGAAAATCTTAAATTACAAGTATCTCGGGTGGGGGGGGGGGAGAATAGGCTTAGAATACGTGAGTAGAATATCGACTGTGTAAACGCATCCTTAATAGATCTGATCGGGGCAAAGTACATAGGATATAAGTAAGTTTAACAACAAGAAAAGAGATTAATCATCTGCGATGCAGTGTCCTCTCGAGATGCAATACAGTAATCTACGAAGTCGAGCGGTTGAGGGAGGTTTTCAGTCCTGCACGGTCGCGGTTCCACAGCAGTTAAGACGACGAAACAGTCGTCGGATTCTCCGACCAAGGCGTACTCGTCGTCTAGGTTTCCGCGCAGTAAGATGGGATTCTGCAAGCAAGGACGGGATCGTTCTAAGTCTTACATTTTCCAAATCTGACATCAGATTTGATATGGAACTCTCACTCACCGCTGTCCTCCTCAGTGACAATTGCTTCTGCCTTAGTGACAATGGCGTCCGCTAAACAGAAAACAGTACTTTGGTAATGAATGCACATTTGAGGATAGACACATACAAAGTTGGAATATGTACTATATGATGACATGAAGACCAACCTGCGTTGTACGCCTCACCGTCGCCCGCTTCGACGACGACGTCATTGGCCTGGCCGCTAGTGTTCACTTCAGACGGTTCTACGTCCAAAATATCCCCTTCAGGCCTATCAACGACGTCACCACTGCAAAGACAAGATTGTGCGTTAGCAAATCAATGCATAAATGATGCATGTGCAAATGTTCGGATGCAAGCATGGCAGGTGACATACGCATCCGTGATCATTGTGGACACCGCAGGTGCCGTCGCAGTTCCCTCGGTCAGCCGCATCGTGTTCATTGTGTGCGGATTTGTCTCCGAAGGTGGGCTGTAGGTGCCGGCCTCAATGTTCGAACAGTCCCCTATGGATCTGAAATCACAAGTAAGTTCTGATGATATCTCGCTTGGGATATTACAATTGGTGTATCGAGAAAACGCTGACAAATTGAAACTCACCGTCCTCGCTCCATTCCTACTTCCTCTTCATCTACAACCTTTAGCGAGTACTTTGGCTGATAGAGCCGAAGTCTGCCAAAAATCGCAGCCATCACTAAAAGAGGATAAAAGCCTAGCCAGAGGCATTTCGGTCTATTGCATAGTTATAATTGCCAGGCCGACTGGATACGATACCTGTGCTTCTAATTTGAGAACTAGTGATCTAACATATCAGACGATAATCTTGCAGTTGATGCACGTTTCACAATCCGAAA